TAAAGAGAACGGTATAGATCACGTGTACAGCGTTTACTTACACAAGAATGGGCTGATGTTTGACAATAAACATTTCGACGTGGATGACGCGGACAACATAATTATCGACGGCGTACGATACGCCGGTATACCCAGTCTTTACGAGTTGATTTTCAAGAGAATTTCGATGCCCTCTACACGGAATATGTACGACGATATGCACAAGTACAAGAGTATGCTGTTGGTGACGAACGCGCACAAACACAAGTATTCATTCGCAGGGTCAATTATTGAGCAATAGAGGATACAAGTACAAACACGTAATCGCACCATTGATGTCGATCACACCCAAGAAACAGAAGAAATCTGGAAAGGGATTACCTCACGCAATGACATTGAACGACAACGCGATTGATTACGTGCACGAAGATGATCCTAACGAGCTGGTGAATCGTCTACGATTGCCGAGCAGGCAACAATTCTCACGACAACGAGATGCTGTCGATCATCGAGGAACGATCTTCGCGAAGCCGGTTTTATTATAAATTAAATCGCATATTCATAAAACGAGTCAGTCGGGTGACACTAGCGAGAAAAAATACATTATTTTCTTGTACTCATCCTAACGTGTATCTCGTGGAGAAAGTGTTGCGCAGGAAGGGCGACAAAGTGTGCGTTAAGTGGGATTCGATCTATCGCACAATTCATGGATATACAAAAACAATGTTATGTGATAAAATTTTAATTGATATATTTTGTATACATATAACAAATATAGTATATAAACGTGTAAATATTTTTTTATTATCCTTTCCATTTTTAGAGTATACAGATATAAAATACGTATATAAATGTACAATACATGAAATTAAAAATAATAATAATACATAATAAATGACACTACATAAAACATAACAGTAATACTTATATAAAACGTAAAAAAACATGCATAATGTAAATTATAATGATAATAGTACACAATAGTAACAGGTATGTAGATTGTATGAGAATATTTAAAAAATGTAAAAAGACATACACAAAGTACAAATTAAGATAATAAAGCATAATAATAGTAATACATATACACTGTATGAAAATATAAAAAATGTAAATATATAATAGTAATTGTTTGAGATATATTCGTATAAAAGCAATAATTCTTTTCATTTAACTAACATCAATTGTCGTTGGATGTGTGTATAAAATGAGTCGGTGAATTCATCTCTAGCACAATCTCAATTCTCACAAGAATCATTAATTTCAAATCATTTTTTTGTAATAAATTAATTCAGTTATACATTCTGTCAAAAAAGTACCGGGAATTGGTCAATAAAACACAAAATAGTTATTATTCATTCAAATTTATTGTATCGCCTTCAAAGTAGGCTCCTTTCGAAATAATATTGTACATTTATGTCAACGAATAATCCAATCATCAAAACATTTTTTAAACGCATTTTCCGAAATCGACTTCAGTTCTCGACGCGAATTCTCTTTTATGTCTTCTATCGACTGAAAACGAGTGCCCCGAAGTGGTAATTTGAGTTTTGGAAAGAGAAAAAAGTCAGCCGGAGCCATATCTGGTGAATACGGTGGTTGTTCGATGATATTTGTTGAGTTTTTGGTCAGAAATTCGTTCACAATAATAGCCTTGTGAGATGGTGCATTATCATGGTGCAAAATCCATAAGTTTGTTTTCCACAAATCTGGCCTTTTTCGACGAATTTGCTCTCTCAAACGCCGCATAACGCCCAGATAATATTCTTTATTTACCGTCTGACCTTCTGGCAAAAACTCCGAGTGCACAACACCGCGACAATCAAAGAAAACAGTTAACATCACTTTGACTTTTGATCGACTTTGACGTGGTTTTTTCGGTTTTGGCTCAATTGGAAGGCGCCATTCCGAAGCTTGTTTCATTCACCGTAAGCCTTCTGTAACATCTTCAGCGATTCGGCACACGAAATTCTATTTGCAATACAAAATTTGAGACAAATTCTTTGTTCGATCTTTTCATTCATTGTAAAAATCGCAAAACACACTTGAGATGAACTGATAAAATCGAGCACGATAATCACATTAAATGACAGATGGCACTCCAGCTCCGCGTCAGTATAGAGGACAGTTATGCCAACTTAGCGACAAAAAGAATTTTGACAATTCCTTTAAGCGGGCTTTTTAAATGATCAATTCCCGATACTTTTTTGACAGAATGTACATACACACGCACGCACGCACGCACGCACGCACGCACGCACGACAATTGAGTGCACGGATCATCAGTGCACTCGCGCACAGTAATATAAATATTGATATGTACATATATATTACAAAGGTATCCCTCAATGTCCCCACGGTAACGTCTCCGTCGAGTCCAGTACGATGTATCGTTTGTTGTCATATGGACTCAGAACGATTTTCGGTTCGGATATCGTGTATACCTCGTGCAGTTTAGATCGTATATACGATTGACGAGTCATTTCGATCTCTTCGTTCAAACACCACGTGTAATCGTCGAACGTTATCGTTCGTTACGCTACGACGTTACTCTTTACACCTTTCGCCTTTTTAGTGTTCTTCTTGCCGTTCACTCTCACCGCGTACATCTTCGCTCTGAGACTAACGAATTCGGTCATTATCGCACCGTTATTTTCGTCTTTCATCAGACCGGGTACTTTTTTATTCGCGAGAGGCATACCGTACGCGTTGTCCATCGGATAATCGCTCGTGTCGAATCTAGCGATATCGCGTTTCATAGTCTCTTAAACGTCCTCGCACTCGACGCGATATATAAAACTGTCTGTGTCGGTATACATAATTTTACATTTGTCGCGAAACAGTGGTAACATATACTCGTGGTGAAATTCTTACAAGCAGACTTTCGATATGTCGAGTATACACATACCCACGTAAATCAGCCCGTTGAATTTCACTTCGAGTTTGCGCAGTTCGACGGCGATTAAATTTTCCGCAAAAACACTACGGCTGTATGTGTGGAAATTCGGGTTTGCAATCATTGCCTCCGCGCCGTATCGTCCGTCCCATTTTGTTAATAATTTTACGTCGACGTATTTGCGCACATTCTCCATAATTTTACCAAATACCGCGTTGTTCATTAGTTTATACAAATTTTTCTCAAAATCGTTTTTCGCGCGCGTTCTAAAATTTGTATTAAGTTCAATGTTTGTATTAATTCAATCGCGAAGCCATGAAGGTTGCGCGAATTGTAGCACCCGATGGATCTTTGTTACGCGAAGACCGTAACGAGTACATTGCTGCAGGTTGCGGTAATGGATGACGTAACGCTGTTTATCATACAATTCTAGAAGTTTATATTCGCGCTTGCCGGGCGGCTTATCGCGCGTCGAACAGAACGGTAGATCAGTATATTGGTCGTGTAGATGCTGCAGATACTCGAGATTGACTTCGAGAATGTAACCGGTGGGCGAATCCAGAGTGATCGCGCTCGCGTCAAAGTTCGCAGCGTCTTTGATCCATCGAAATTTGGTGTATGGCAATGGTATCGACCATCCATATAAATTGTTAACATCGCAGTACATCAAGTACGACGACGGTTCCGACAAATCGTACGAATGCATGTACTTGTTATTAGTCTGCGCGTATCTGCCTGAACATTGACTGAGACCACCGCGTATACCGCGCTCGATGAACATGATCATATCAATATCAGTGAGCAATTCAAACTTTACGCACGTATATTTTAACATCACATCCCACGTGAAACCAGGCAAAGTGTAATAATGTGCGGAATCGAGACCGTAACTTGCGACGCAACTTTCGCGAAAATTTTCGAAAATGTCAGCTAATAACAAGACATCGGTTTTCAAGTACAGATTACTGTACTCGCCAAGCGTTCGGTTGGAGAATCGCTGCTATATGTTCGCAGCGTGAGCGTAATCGCTGTCGGATACGGTATCACCCGTCAACGAACTGTAAAATAATTCGCGCGGTAAGCGCGTGTTTTCTTTTTCGACATAGTCAACGTACTCGTACGGAAAGACACCTTTACGAGT